ACGGTCAGCTCGGTGTGTGCAGTATGCAAAATGTACCAAGTACTCGGTTGGCCTATTGTCGTAGCTTCGCTGGCAGATGATGTCGCCGACCTCCTGAAAACCATCCATAGAGGGTGGGTCTTGCGAACGTCGCCCGGGAAAATCGTCATGTTGCGCTAGCGTGTAAAGAGCCAACTTGGAGCAATGAAAGACTGGGTAGACGGGCAAGTGGGCGGGCACCTGAATAGTGAAGGAAGGTCCCTCGGGTGCATCCCCAGCGGGTGCCATGATCAAACAGGGCCCCATCCATTTCGGGAGGAGCTTGCGAGAGATATCTTGTTCAAGGCTAAATTTCGCGGAGGAAACCCAAACGAGATCGCTGGCGCGGAATGGGCAAGGAAGATGTTGGCGATTGGCCTGTTGGCTCATGCGCTGCTGCGTCTTGGCCATCTGGTCGCGTGCCTTGGCAAGTAGCTCTTTCATCCGATGCAAGAAAAGAAGATGGTCGTCGCTCTCGGCTGTTCGTGGAATGATTGTGTCCAACGGCGAAGTGACCAGGAGCCGTGCTCGAACTCGAAGAGCGACATCCCGATAGCCGGGTGGATGGACGAGTTGTAGGCCAACTCGATATCCGGCAGCCGCTCAACCCAATCCTTCTGGTCGGGGCGGATGAGAGTGCGAAGGAGAACCTGTGTGGTCTGATGCGCCCTCTCCGTTTGGCCATCGGTTTGGGGGTGGCGAGCCGAACTTGGCTTGAGAGATGAGCCCCATCGTTTGATGAGCACCAACCAAAAATCGGACATGAACCGAGTGTCGCGGTCGCAGACGATTTCCTTGGGGTAACCCTTGGTTCGAATCCAACCGGCGTAAAGAACCTCGGCCAACTCCGGTGCCTTGGCATGATAGCGACAAGGCAAAAACATGGCGAACTTGGTGAGTCGGTCGACCACCGTGAGAATCCCATCCACGTCGGTCTTGTGCTTGGGGAATGGGCCGGTAATGTCCATGGCAATCACTTCTTTTCGCCGCAAGGGGACCGGTAATGGTCGCAACTTGCCGTATGGACGATGGTTGCGGGATTTGCAGCGTCGGCAAACCTCGCATGACTCGCAGTAGGGTGTGACGTTGCCGAGAAGACCGGGCCACCAAAATCGCCCGTGAAGTCGGCCAATCGTGCAATTGACTCAAAAGTGTCTGGTGGCGGGAGCATCGTGGAACTTGCCAAGAAGCCGTGTACGCAATTGAGGGTCACTTGGTACGCAAAGAAGGTCCTTCCCCCGTGTGTGGACAAGCAAGTACCCCTCTTGGATCCAGTAGTGAGAAGGCGCCAGATTAGGAGGGGAGAAATTCGCGTACTTGTCGCGAAACTCGGGGTCGGCTTGGTAGCCGCGGATGAAGTTGTCCCGCAGGTCGTTGTCGATCTCGAAAGTTGAGTAGACCGCGGTACAATGATCCGGACGCCGTGAAAGAGCATCCGCAAAACAGTTCGACCTCCCCGAAATGTGATCGGGAAAAAAGTCGAACTGGTCGATGAAAGCCATCCCTCGAGCGATGGTGCTGTTGACGGTGTCGTGGGTCTTGTAAAAGACCAACGGATTGTTGTTCGTTACCCATCGGATTTTTTTGAATTATTTATTATTATTATTATTATTTTTTTTTTTTTAAGGCCTGTGCAAAGCCTTTATCCCAGTGGTGGTAAGAGAACCACCGGGATTGAGGCTTTGTCTGGTGGGCCGCTCCATCTATTGGTGGGAAGCCTCACCTGCTGGAAACTGGGTCCAACGTCCCTTAGATACATCTTTCTCTTTTCAACCATTGAGCCTGACACCACAGTGCTGGAAACCGGGTCCAACGTCCCGTGTCCGAATTATAACATCCCTTCTTAACCTGAGGTGTGGTCGGGTGTTGGGGGGGGAGGGGCACCGGGGGGCACCGGTGGAGACTCCCTCCGAAACCCAGCCCCTACCCACCATCTACTGTCCTCGTGGTGCAGGTAAAATGCGAAATAAAAAGAACCGGAAAGGACTAAAATTTTGCAGGAATATGAATATGAATAGTCTGGAGAGGCTGAAATAAGACTGAAATGGACTGCAATAAGACTGGAGGAAGGCTGAACAATACTGAACAAAAAAACTGAAATTGAACAAACTCATAAGACTGAAGAAAGACTGAACAAGACTGATCAAGCTCATGACTCAGGTGACACTTCCTCCAAGGACAACGGGTGGGGGGGGAAGGGGTTTGCAAAATCCTGGGCGGGCCGTAATGGGTCGCCCTGATCTACCTTAGTCCATTCGTGAAAAAACAGCCGATAATCTCTTTCAATCTCTACCGGGTGTTCCTCTTGCAGATCTCTCTCCGATTGCTGATCCCCGGCCCACCTTACCTCCGCCACCCATTCCCCCCCTTCCCCTCCCAACCAGTCCTTGCCAAAGCGGGAGATGATTCGGTGAATATCTCCCCGGGTATGCATTTGATCGAGTTTGTCTTTTGCCACCCTCCACTGGGTCGTGAGTTCGTGCTGTACTAATAGCCGTAAGTGTTTCGTGGCCTCTCCATCTTCCACCCTTGCTCCTTCCACCTCTAGGGTGCATCTCCTCCACCATATGACCCATAGGACAGCGCGTCTTCCTAGGTGAAACATATTCTCCTCAAATGTATTCCCTTGGATCTGGGGGTAGTATCCCAGGAGTATGGCCCTCCAGTCCCATGGCCACAACGCTGTCGGAACAATGTGCCGCCAAATCCTATCCCAGCTTCTCCACAGTAATAACACCGTCGGGCACTGGAGGAAGATGTGCTCTATTGTCTCAGCGCGCTTCCGCCCGGGGTAGCACTGGAGACATCTGTGGCACCACGGAAATGCTCGTCCCTGCTGTTCTAGGCGTGTGTGCTCTATTAGCCAATCATTGGTTGGCAGGCATCGATGTTCTATTTGCCACTGCAGGGCAGAGATTTTTGTTGGTCTCTTTCCATAGTGAGCGAACCATCTAATGGGTTTGAGCAACCTTCGCTCTATATTGCGGTGGCGGTACCATCTGTCTTCTACTAACTCTCGCAGTCTACGCTTGGGCCGGAGCATTCGGTAAGCCGATTTAGATTTTAGATTGACTAGTGTTAATGTCTTTGCCTTCCCCCTACGGATCCTAGCTTCCTGAGACCATCTCCATTCCTTGGGGTCGAAAGGGAGATCTTCGATGGGGGTCGTTGGTCGGTATGCCCTCCATCCTCTTCCATCATCAAGTACTCTAATGCGATATACATCCTTTTTCTCTGTCCATATAAAGGGTTGTTGGTTCCACTGTAATCTATCATCCTTCTGGATAAAGAAGATTTCAATCAGCACTTTTGTTGGATGAACGAGGTGCACACACCCCACTTGCTTATCATGTTTGGGCAGCCCTACCCAGTCCCCTTCTTTTAGGCAAGGGCCTTTTTGGAGGGTGATGTACCAATGAAGGGGGAAGCTTTCGATGAGTTCTTCCAGGGCTGGTTCTGTGAAGTGACAGTACCGCAACCATGTGCGCATTCTTTCTGTGTTTTTCCAGCACCTTGCCTCCGTGTCGCAAAGGTCCCCTACCCTCCGAACCCCGTGTTTCACCGAACCCTTCCATGGGGAGTCCGAGCTACACCTCATGCGGCCCAGTGAGTCTGTGATCTGTTGATTATCGAACAAGGGTTGTGTGAAGGTCTCCTCCCACCTGTCTGGTGTCTGTCGGTCGGGGGGGGGGTAGCTTCCTCCATGTACGGAGGAGGCGCAACCATTGTTTATATGTGGGATCCCCATTCCGATATTTCCTAGGTAGCTTCCAATATCTGTCTTCGAGCCATACCAAGGGGTCGGTTTGAAGCGGAACTTCTGGGGCTAGGGCTGCAATTTGTGCTAGGGCTAAGGGAACCCAGGGAGAGGTTGATGAGAAGATAATATGTTGGAGCCAGCGAACCGTGAGGGCCTGGAACTGTGTGGCCGGGTCCACAATCCCCAACCCTCCTCCGGCCTTAGGTTGAATCACCGATTCCCATGCTACTCGGCTGATGGCGTGGGGGTTGTTACTATCCCCTCTCCATAGGAAGGCCGCCAGCTACTGCTTCAATGTTTTGAGCCCTCCATTGCTCATGGGCCATAGAATGGCCTTATACCAGAGTGTAGCGAGTACTACATTGTTAATTACGAGAGCCCGCCCAAAAATGGAGGTGTGTTTGTTGTTCCAACTTTGTAGCTCGGCCTGTACTGGTCGTGTCAGCCATTCATCATTGGTCACTGGTTCACCCTTAGCCGTAACTAGAGCCCCAAGAATCCTAAGAGGCTCTTCTGGAGGGAGCCAGATGACTCGCGGGTTTTCGGGTGGCCTTCCCCCTTGGTGGTGTGACATTTTGCAGAAACGGCTCATAAGATTCTGGATTTCTTCCATATTGGTGTCCGTTGCCTCCACCATTATAGTGAGGTCGTCTGCAAAAAGAGAACAAATAGTTATTGCCTCCTCGGGGATATCGGTAATCCTAATCCGTGTAAGATCTTTATTGTGTCTCAGGTTAGCCGACAGTGCCTCCATTATAACCAAGAAGAGATAGGGGGCAATGGGGTCCCCTTGTCTCACTGACTGCTGGAGTTCAAATGGGGGTGCCACCGAACAATTGACTTGCACGCAGGTGGTGGCATTTTTGTGGAGAATTCTCACCCAACGCCGGAAAGCGGGACCGGGACCAAAGTTCATTTTTTCTAAGCATTTGTCTAGAAAGTTCCAATCGACGTGATCATAGGCCTTTTCGAAGTCAATAAATATAATCGCTGCATTTGACCGATTTTTTTGTGCCAGTTGGACCACGTCGTTAACCAGCAGGGTATTTTCTTGTATATTCCTGTTGGCCATGAACCCTATTTGGGCCGGGTGTATGATATCTTCCAAGATAGCCGCCATGCGGTTTGCTAGCGCTTTCGAAAACATTTTGTCCCCTTTTTTTATAGTAGTGTCAGTATGCCCTTTCCCACTGTTTCCCCCATTTTCCCGGCTTCCCATACCTCATGGTAATAGTCTCATAAATCCCCACTTAAGTCAGTCCACATAACTTCCCAGAATTCCTTAGGAAATCCATCAATGCCACCACCGCTTGAGCGCGTGGACGAAGGCGAGGAGCTCCTTTTTGCGTGCATCGTCAATGGAATGCATGACGGGCGCTTTCTTGCTGAAATACTCGACCGGGTGCCAGTCCACGCCATCGTGTTGCTCGAGGACGGCACCAATGCCATAACCGGACGCATCCGTAGTGACGCGCGTAGGCAAAAGCGGGTCGTATATGCGCAAGACCTCCACAGATAATAGTACGGCCTTGAGAGCCAAAAATGATCCCCGCGCATCCTCTCCGAAGTCAAACGGTCGATCCTCGCATTGAAGTTTGGTCAAGTGGGTCGCGATCTTCGAGTAGCCCTTGATGAAACGCTGGTAGTGGCCGGCGAGGCCAAGGAACGAACGGACATCCGTGATGTCCCGTGGCTCCGGCCACTCTTGGATGGCTTGAATCTTGTCCGATAGCAGACTGATGCCCTCCGGTGTGACAAAATGGCCCAAGTATTCCAGCTCTTGCCAGACAAATTCACACTTGTTGCGGTTGGCCTTGTACTTCGCGCGGCAGAGCGTCTCCAACACTCGTTGCCCAAGACGATCCTCCAATGTCTGGCTATAGATGGGAATATCGTCTAAGTAGACCAACACGAACCGGTCCAACATTGCACGGAACTCGTTGGTCATTGCCGCTTGAAAGGTTGTCGGGGCGTTGGTGAGGCCAAAAGGCATGACCACCCACTCAAAATGCCCGGACTGCGTCTTGAACGCCGAGTTGTAGCGATCGTTCGGTCGGATCGAGATTTGATGATGTCCCGACCTTAGATACAACTTAGAAAAATACTTCGTGCTGCCCAATCGCTCCAGAAGATCATTGATGCGAGGAATAGGCCCCGCATTCTTGACGGTTTGCGCGTTGAGCTTGCGGTAGTTGATGCATAATCGTAGATCTTGGTTCTTCTTCCGTACGAAGAGAATTGGCGCTCCGTATGGAGGGCTACTAGGGCGGATCCAGCACTTGTCCAACAAATCATCGAGTTGCGCGCGGAGGACCGTAAGTTCCTCCTCGCTCATGCGATAAATGCAACCTTTCGGCGACACAACACCGACCTCGAGAATGATCTCGTAAGAGATTGGCCGATCCGGCACCACACCGGTAGGTGACTCGAAGATGTCGGCGAACTCGTCAAGCAACCGCACCACACGGGAGTCCGAAGACAAGTCCGTGGGTGAAAAGTCGGCTACCGCGACGGTCCATAGGACGCATAGGCTGATTTCGCCGGGCTTCTCGTACGTGCAAGTAGCCTGGAATGACTTGGCCGTCACCACTTGGCACCGAATTGAAGGGTGCGGAAGAGGAATAGTACACGCCACTTCGGCGCCGAAGGCGTCGTGAACGGTAAGAGTCCGCCGGTGGAAGTTGACCGTGTGATCCGCACTTGCAAGCCAAGGCATTCCCAGAATGATGTCGAAGTCCGTGTCCAAAATGTCGAACGTTACCGGTTCGCATGCATGAGGTGCGAAATACACCGGTATGGCCTCGATGTAGCGGTCGATAAGTTGCTGCGTCCTTCCGTCCACCAACTTGATCGTCGTCAGATTTGCCTTCCTTCGAACTTGTGCACCAAGGCCAGCCCTTTGCATAAACGCTTGACTCATAAAATTGCGAGACGCGCCGCTATCCAGCAAAGCGCTGCAGGACGCTTGCCCAACTTGGATGCGGACATAGAGGAGCGCTGCGTTGTTGTCGTCATACCGCTGGTTGCCAAACTCGCGGGCCAACTTGGTAACATACGTAAGGATATCCCCCACCGCGACTTCGTCATCCGTCGGCGAAGTTGGTGGTGCATAGAAGGATAAGTACGTGCGGAGATGGGCGCATAGTGCTGCACATTGCGGTCCGACAAGCGGCCCATGGTTGGGAGAGGAAGCCATGCAAAGTCCTCGGACGTGAGCATGTCCAATACCTCTATGTTGAACTCGCGCGCCAAATCCCGTGAAGAACCACTTGAAGACGATAAGTTGCCGCTGTCGGACGGAGAAGATGCCGCACACACGTCTTGTCCTTGAGCATGAGTACCCAGCATAGGAACGAGCCGGGCAGCAGAGTCCTCAAAAGAATAAAGAAGAGGACTATCGACTTCCGCATGTGCCTCGGAACAGGGGGCGGTCACCCGCGAAGTGACCGGTTCCGAAGGCGTCGAGAATGTCGTCGAGTCACTCCTGGCGGTGCTCAGTGTCCCGATTTGCCCTTGCCTTTCGACGGGCAGGCCACTATCTCATGGAGATCGTTGTTGCACCATAGGCAATAGTGGAATCTCGTTCGTGCTTTGTACTCCGTTTCGGGGAGACCGAAGTGGGCCAATGGGGCTGGAGCTGTTGCGTTGGGCCCAGGGCTAGATGTGGTGTTTGTCTTCGCCTTGCCACGTCCTCGGCCTTTGCCGGGGCAGCCACCTTTCCCGGGCGGCTGCAAGTCTGTTCCCTTCATTGGCAGACACAGCCTCGCTAATTTGGTTAAACGGCGTTGCCGCCGCGACCACGGCCACTTTCGACCGATGCTGATCTGCTTGGGCCTGCCGCAGACGAACGCAGGTTCTTAGCCTCCTTGTTTGTGATAATAATCTGCGCGGCCTTGTTAAAGAGTTCCGCCGTTGTCGTCAAGGTGTCCTCGACGTAAGTCAAGGTATTGCTCAATGTCAGACACGACCTTGAGATAAATTAGTGGCGGATGGCTTTGAAGCCCATTTGGATGTCTGAGACGGATGTCAAGCGTTGGTACTCGGCAATCCAGTCGACACTCGACAGCGTGCCTTGTTCGAAGACCATTAGCTTGTCCATTGCCTTGATCTTCGGCGGCTCTACTTGGAACCGTTTATGCCACGCCGCCTTCAGATCATCTCAACTGATCTTGGTATGCAAGTCGGCAGTTACCACTCCGTACTTGGACAAGAGATTGTCCAACCACGCTTGGCACGCGCCCCCCGAGGGGGAGTATAAGTACATGTGGTGCTTGTGTTCTTTGACGTAGTGTAGCTGTAGCGTGAGCTCGAACTTGCGGAACCATGGAATCGGATCTATCTTCGTCGAGTCGCAGAAGATCTCCTGCCCGTCGAACTTTGAAGTTGTCTCACGTGGTTCCGAACTCGAGTTGTTGGCGGCAGTACAGATCCACTGCTCCAACTGTTGCGTTGCGGTTTGCTGTAACTGCACGTCGTCCTTGAGGGAGCCGACGTCCATCTCCAAGGCCTCGAGGCGATCGGAGGTGTTGGAAGAGCTGGCATCGGGGGCGGCGACCGGTCGCTGCTCCAGCTGTCGGAGGCGGCCGTGGACTTGAGTCAGTGCGTCGTTGAGGTTGTGGGTCTCCTCCTGCTGTGTAATGCATGTTGCCCGGAGGTCCGTGATATGGGAGAGGAGTAGAGCGATCTTGTTTTCGCTATCTTCCATCTTGCCATTCTCGGCCTCGACCCGCCAGTCTGCTGCCATTGTGAGCAAAGCTTGCTCTCCGCTAAATATCTTCTCACGCCGTTGAACTCGTTCTTCATCAGCAGCCTTTGTTGCTGCCTCGTCATGCTGGCGCTGCTGTTCAATTGCCAGCAGATATGCCTTCTCGGCGTCCTCTGCCTTCTTCTTCGCTGCGGTTGCTGCGTCATCCACCCGTCTCTTGGTTTCGGTACTCCAGGCCAGCATCCGGGCCTGATAGGCCTCGTCTGTTTCCCCGGACTTCTGGTCCATAACGGCTGTTTGTGAACGCAAAAGCATAGACCAGGGCGGGGGCCTGCTGACACGGTACTGCTGTCGGCTGACGTGGCCTGCTGATGTGTCCTGATGACGTGGTCCGCTGACGTGGCAACTCATCAATGCCGCCGCAGGGGGTACCCGGGGGCAGATAGAGAAGGTAAGACCAGAGGTGGCAACACCTGAAGTGGCAACACCATAGGTGGGGAGGGGTGGGTGGGATAATTGCCCAGATAACGCCCAGATAAGGAGCTACTAATCAAAAAGAAAAATTTGAACTTTTGCAAAAAAAAGTTTCGAAAGAAATAAAAATCCCGAGTTTTGCAAGTTCAGTACGTCTCCCAACCTCCAATGAGAAAAAAATTTCGAACTTCAGACTGCAAATGATTATTGACTGTGACTGCGGAAAAAAAAAATTCCGAAAAGAAATCAAATATTCGGACTTACTCAGATGAGAGTATTCGCAGTTTGGAAAATGGTACTGCAAGAGGGATTTCCCGTACCGTTTTCAGAAAAACGAATTTCGGAACAAAATATTCCGAATTTCCAAATAACGGGAAATGCAACAGGAAATCAAAATTTCCGAAAAAAAAGATATTCCGGATTTTCTAACAACGAAATTTCGAATTTTCAGAAGAAAAAAAAAAAAAAACGAAAACGGAAATTTCAGATGTTGCGCTATTGCGATTTTCCACAACAGAAATAGCGAGAAACAAAATCCAAGAAAAGGAAAAAAAAAATCAATTTTCGGCAGTAAGGTCAAAATCGTGATTTTGGGGGCTAAGTAGTGTGCTCTAATCAATCTATCAAGACTAATCAGCTACCTAGTCCCCGCACACGTGTCAGATCAGGTTGTCCTGATTCACGTGCGGTGTTCCGATACCAACTGTTACATGCCCAGTTGGGCGATGTGCATATAAACCGAGGATCCACAATGTGATAAAAAAGATTGAATGGACGATGCAGTGCAAGTGTAATCTGAACAAGCAATGTGCATTCCGATACATACAAAAATGGTGCTTTATAGCGCAGGGAAGACTTTAGGTACAAGTCCTGACCTGACCGGGACTGACTCCTTTCACGTAGTACGAGATAGCGAAGCAGAGTGCTAGAATACTAATGACTAGCCCAATCAATGTTTCAACGCAGACCGAACATACATCATGCCCATCACAAGGTGTGAAGGGGCCTGGCGCTATACACAGGAAAGAAGCGCCAGGTCCAGACATACACAGACGAAGAGGAGGGGATCAGACGAAGGAGAGGAAGGGGGAGATGGGAAAGTCATCAACACCAAGTCTCGTTACAAGTCCCAAATAATCCCTCTTCAAAATGTCTGAAGTCCCATGTCGAGTCTGGATCCAATGTCACCAAGCTCTCTCTCTCTCTCTCTCTCTCTCTCTCTCAGTTTGCTGATAAAGTGAAGTCAGATAGCGAGAGGGTGAGAAGGAGATGGTGGACTGAGAAGAGGAAGAAGAACTCTCTCTCTCTCTCTCTGGTATGCCAGGTACTAACCTGTGAGGATGGCGTTGTGTTGCAGGTACCTCGAAGACGAAGCTGGAGCAAAGGCGCTGCAGGTAAGTATCCCTGGCCTCAGCCCAATCTCTCTCTCTCTAGTACTACTCTAGCTATGGCGCCCAGCGCTGAAGACTACAGCTAACGCTACTAGCGCCCAGCGCTGAAGACTACTGCTAACACTACAACTACTCCTGCAGCGCTCCTCCAGAGTGCTGCTGCCGAATCCTGAAGACTACT